GAAGACTTATAATTCAAACCTCTTATTCAGTTTTCTGGTCTTGTGATGTGTAAATAGCAATAATAAAACAGATTGTGTGACTTTTATATCAGTCACAGGCTCTTGTTGAGAACTGACAAATATTGCACTTGTAAAATAATGGATTTTGAACTGAATGGAGTCAATGCTGTTTATATCTCATAATTGGAATCTAGATTTTCATCATTATTTTGAACAAAATTTTATTTGAAACCAAATTTTCAATAATACCAAGAAATTTGCACACAATCATGCTGAGACTTGGCAGAGTGGCACATCATACTAAGCAATAGGAATACGCTCGCCATTGCACCTCTGATTACTCTTCGCAGGTTCAAATCCCATGCGGGATGGTTATGTGCGAGGGGGTTGCTGGACTCCTCGCCGCCGTAGGGTGGTTCACGTGACCGCTGGCCAGTTATGTCTTTCTCCACCATCAAGTCCATGCTTCCGAGAACAAAAAAACTGGTCAACTAATCCATACCCATGGACTGGTACCCAGATGGCCTGTGGTTCGCCATATAATCAGGCCATCTTATCGCCTTTTCTCTCCCTGGAGTAAATATGTACCTAAATCCCATTATATCCTGAGAAAGTGTTTTGAATGTATTGAAGTCAGATGAAACTTAAGCATTTACAAGACATTTTGGATTGGAGATATTTCTGTTATTTCAATAAACAAATTTAGTTTGATTACATTAGTTCCAAATGTGATTTTGGTTATTATTATATCAAAGTATTATTGATCCTCTTTGAAATTATTCAAAACATGATATAAAATGAATAGCACTGAAGATTTCCAATTGAATCTGAATTTATTATGCTCTATTTCTCATATCAGCCTTTGTTTGCTCAAAAAATTTGAAGGAAGTAGAAGAGGGAAGAACTTGTCAAAAAAGTTGTATCGACAGCTTTGACTGTCCAGGAAGCTTCACGCGATGCCTCTGTGATGATGTTTGTGGAAAATCTTGTTACAATCGTGGTAAAGTTAATATAAAACGATTAAGCGTTGTTATGTTTGGTTGATTAATAATATGTAATGAAAGGTATTTGTCTAGCGTTCCAATGTCCTACACCAGAAGCACCGGGAAATGGTTATGTCTTGTATAACAAGTTATCACATGGACATACAATATCCTATGGATGCGATAAAGGTTATGCTTTATCTGGACCCCAAACGAGAACTTGTAGATCTGATCGAAAGTGGTCTGGATATCAAGCTAAATGTATTGGTGAGTTGATTCAAACAGAATTAAAACTATCAAAACTCATACTTTGGTTTTATTGTAAAAAGGAGGGAGATGGACAAATATGTGAGAATGAAAGCTAGCATGGAAATTCTGATAATGATAGCCAAGTGCAGTAGTTTTCTAACTTTGTAGCCCATTTCAAAAATTTTGTGACCTTCTGCTCTTCAGTAATAAAAATTTTTTTGTTTTTAATGCATTTTTATCAATTACTTTATTTGCCACATTCTAATAATAAAGACCCAACAAACAAAAGTAAAAGAATAAGTGCTTTACAGTCGAAGAAATCATACAATTTATTTTAAATCGCCTCAATCAACATAAGTAGTACCGAGTGAATGCTCTTGTAAGTGGCCCCCAATGCATCGCTTCATGGCCATCTAGTGTGGTTATCGAGCCTGTCTGGAAAACACTGGCCTAGTGGTTAACCTGATATACCTAATTGTAGTTGCATAGCACTTGAGATATTTCAAGTTCAAGACGAACCTATTAATTCTTGGTGTAATAAAATAGGTAAGGTATGAGTCAAAATATGATTTCAATTTTTTGGTCCTGTGAGGTATTTTATCTCTTTCACAAACATTTAGAATTTGGAGTTTGCGGTCAAGCAGGGGATGTACAGCAAGAAGTAAAATTTAAAGTTATTGAAGGTACAGATGCAAGAATAGGAGCATGGCCCTGGCAGGCACTGCTCTTCCGAAGAAGTGAGGTAATTTGAATGAGAATGATGGTATTCTAAATTCAGTGATGGCATGATTTTGGTACTACAGCTGTGAATTGCATATTGAGTCCAGCATGACAGTCTATGAAAAATTTCTATCTATTTGTTATCATCAATATTTTTGATGACTTGTTCAATGTTCAAAAGTATCATGATAATCATTGAACCATGGACTGTGAATTGATAAAATAATTGGTCAAAATTTATGAAGAATTTAGTGGTTGATTTATTGTGTTTGTGAGGAGTAAGACCATCTCCAAAATCAGTAAAATTTTTTTCTGACAATCAACTGGGTACTACTTATTTGGCACAATAAAAATGCTTCAGCTGACTATACTGAGTGAAATATATTATAGCTATCGGGGCTCTTTGAGATGATATTGGTATATAAAGATGAGCTTTCAGTTTATTTAAATTTTAAATATTTCAAGTGAAACAATTTGTCAGCAAAATTTTATGGGGAAATAAAAAGTTAATCCTACCATCGAGGCAAGTCAAGTTTATTTTTTTTAGCTATTAAATAAATAAAAACAATTGAATACAGAAAATATGAGAAAAAAAAAGAAAATCACAGTATTACTGGGGAAGGGAGGATTATCGAACAGCGACACCCAAGGTTCAAATATCTATTTTGAATAAGTGAAATTTTAGAGTTAAGAAATTACTGTTTCCATCTAACATCCCTCAATAGAGATAGTTAGTTTCTTAAGATTGCATTAAAGAGTCGTAAGCGTAAAACCAACTGCTGGAAGGTGAATTTCCCAATTCAGTAGAATTAATTATAGGCTGGGCTGTTCTGAAATTTATAATCAATCAATCCAGTCAGCCCTGAGGTAAATTAATCATGCAAGAAAATGAATTAATCATTACAGTAAAATGAAAGTTTTGCAGTTAACTGATTCTCGAGCAGTTACACCCAAGGTTGTATTATCCATATTAAAAATTTCAAACTTTTGAAACTACTGTTGTTAACGGGTGTTGTTAACCAGTGTTGAAGGGCGTACCAGTGGTAACGGGTGTACCAGCAAATAGATTCAATTAAATATTTTTATTTGAATTATCCTTATTCAACTTATACATACTAATTGAGGCAACTGTATTTTATAGGGTTTGCATATAAACAGTGGCTTTGGTGGTGGCTCCATTTTGAATAACAAATGGATACTTACAGCTGGACATAACTATCCTTTGGCTTTCCCAAGAAATAAAGATACTAAAGAGTGGAAAAAATTTTTTTGGTTGTAGTAGGTAAGCTATATAATCACATAACTCAAACCCATTTTCTAAACCTCACCCGAAGTGTGACAAATTTGGCAGAATATCTCAATGTTTAAAATATTTTGCGAATTCACTATTTTGGTTTCAGCACATTAAAATTCACTTATATTCTCTATATTCTATTTTTCGGCGCTCCTGAAGTATGCGTACCAAGATGGCAGACACCGAAACGTAATATGTGTACCAGGTTAGGGTTAAGCCATAATTTCAGGTACAAATACTACTTGAGTCACTTGACTAGTCCTCGAACTCGTAATAGAACTAAAATAGGGGAAATTGGAATCAAATTATGGCCTAACCCTAACCTGGTACACACACTACGTTCTGGTGTCCACATACTTCTTCTTGGTACGCATACTTCAGGAGCACTCTATTTTCTGTATTGTAGAATATTTTCAAGTAGGGTAGGGTTTTCCCTCTTTGGACATCTCAGAATTTATGAGTAAAAGCAGTATTGGATTTTTCTCTTTTTCTCTAACTTCTTATTTGATATGCAGGAATATCAGAGTATCCAGAAAAAGGAAAATCACCTCCTACTGCAGACATCATTGAACCTAAGATTTTATTTACTCATTCAAAATTTGATATCAAGACAAGTGATTATGACATTGCATTGGTGAGCAAGAAATTATTCAACTAAAAAAATATGGATTACCGGTATATTTTGTAAATCATATTATGGTTGAGCAATATGCCAATAACTAAAAAAATTTTGAATAGTTTTTATTGAGACATATAGCACTTTATTAGGTAGTTACGATGCCGTCTTCAATAAATTTGTACTTTCAGTAGTCCTTATTAATATACCTACACTAGTGTCAGTCAACCTTTTTGAAATGGTACACTCTTTTAATCATTTACCAAAATCTGGTACACCCCGCCAATCCTACATTTTTAATACGTAAGAAATTCAATTTTTGAAGTTAGATATATATGTTTATGTCGACGCAATAGTTTAATATTTAGCTAATGTAAATGCTGCTCTTGGATTTCATTAGCCAATTGTGCAAAGCCAGGTAATAACCTTGTTTTGGACCTCAATTCATTTGCATGTCTCTCCATGCGCAAATTTCTGGAAACATTCTATGCTTTTGGAATGAGGCCGAACAAAACTAACAACTTTTATGATATCAATGAGAACAATATTCAAATCAGTTTTCTGAGTCTTTTCATATCTTAGTTTTTTCACCACATGAGCCTCTCGATGTATGCACCGTTAGCAAGGTCACAGCTATGACAAGCATGTAACAGAAAATTGGGAAATGGCTGACATACGTTAAACCTTATGTTTACGTATGAGTTAAACCGTTATATATTACATATCATTCTCAAATTTAACCTATTTAATTAACATATCAAGTGTTAGTGTGTACCCCAAAACATTCGGTACCGTACATCCCTGGTACATCCTATCTATGAGTTACACCCCTTAAACTTTTTGGTACACCCTGGGGTGTACTATGCCCCCAGTTGACGAACACTGACCTACACACACACATATAATTAATATGGGGAAAATACACAATGAAGTTTTTTCATTCTTATATTAAGATACGCATGAAATTGTAGATGTCAGCCAAACAGTTTATTCTAATCAAAACGTCTACTTCTACGCGTAATTCAGTTGATATTATATTGAAAGATAAAAAGGTTCTGTTCTTTATAAATCTTTATTTTACAGATTAGAGTAGGAAACCATGTTAAGTGGGATGGAGAGAAATTCGTCATTGACTCAAGTCAAACTCCCGGGGTTCTAACCTACTCACAATATATACGTCCAGTTTGTTTTCCATGCATGAAGGATTATGATTCTCCGCCTAACGATTTTGTGAATAAGTTTGATTCTGCACAGTGTTCTACTTGGAAAGGTTGTATGACAAAAAATAAGACAATTTCATTGTCTGTATTTCAGTTTTACTGACTCATTAGTTATTTAGAAACTGTTTTGCCTTTACACTGCTTGTTTCTTTATATGGGCTCTACAGTGTCAATTTTTTTCATGTTCTGTGATGTCTATGCATTTGAAGATTAACTGCCTAACGTCGTATCTGAGCCAGACTGGTAACTTAATAAAGGCTGTGTGAATCAGCTCATCTCTTTTCTTATCAAGATATATGAATAAATATGCTATATCAAGGGGTATCAAATAATTGTTGAACGTATGGGCCTCATTCATATCCAAATTTAATATCGCTTGTGGTGTTTGTGAATGTTTTGGTCAGATTACTTTACCAGACACTTGTAATCATTGTGCCATTACTTGTTGTTACTTGGTAATTATTACTTGCTTACATGTGTGTGTGAGGGTGGTACTTGGAGGTGACGTGTGTCGAGCATTATAGTTTGTAACAGGCCTGGTTAAGGGACCTGTATATGTGTATCTGCCTTGAGGGCTAATTAAATTTTCAGTGTTGTTATTTGTGGTTGAGTTATTTTATTTGTCGCTGAGTGAAAATCATTCAACATCAGAGTTCTTATAATTAGCATTGAAATGACAAGTCTTAAAAGGACGGATGAATTGCTACCGTCATCGGGACTACAACAAAGAAAACTAGATAGCGATCGGAGACTGCCGACTTATCGATCGTTCACAGCGACGAAAGTTATGGGAACCCCCAAAACAGAAACTGCGATTTCGATTCCTTCGCTCTGACTCAAAAGCGACACCACGTGCCCCATCACTAATTAATTAATTACTCGCTAATTATATGACATAATTCATGCAAAATCAATAGGCTTCTGGTCCGAGATATGATGAATGTACATGCAAAATTTGGAGCAGATTCAACCTCGCTTTCGTGAGACATCGTCTAAGATACGAAAGTGTCTAACAGACAAACAAACAAACAGACAAATACCTATCAACATACTTACCGATCAAGATTAATAAGTAATGAATAAAAAAATAAATAAAAAGAGAGCATTAACAGTACATAACAATAGAATTACATTTGGTTGTTTATTGGCTTATGCTAGTGGTTATAATATCAAATTGTGTTCTCAAAACGTTATAGGAAATTGACAAATTTATATCACATGATGGTTTAAGGAAAATCCGAGTCTAGTGTACCGAAACAAACATCTTCTGATGGAACTGATAACATTGAATGAGGTTGTCATTGTAATATACCGGTAATTAGCAATGGAAAAAATCTGAAAATATGTAATTTTAAAACTGAACCTTTTTTTTCATACTGTTTAAAACTGCTGTCAATATTGAACAAATAGTTGAACGAGATCTAGAGTCTGGAACAGAGGCTATAGTAACAGGTTTCGGATACAAAAGAGATCCTGGATCATCTTTTCAATATGTACCTAAAATTTTACAACAGGGACATTTGTCAATATTGGCTCAGATAAAGTAAGATCTCTATTTAAATTTTATTTGTTTTCCCAAATACTGTTCTTTGCTCAATTTTAAATGCATAAATGAAGCCTCATAATCATGCAGCTGAGGTAGAAAGTACTCAGCATTTTTCCCACATATTAATGTACATACCGTAATGTATTTGGAGTCAATTGTTTGGTTTTAGCCGGTTAGCTGTTGTTAACTTGGTTATGTTCAACAGTACACATGTACTAGCTTATGTAATTTTAAATTTATTCATCTTGTGATGATAAAATTATAGATGAGTTGACAATAATATTGGAGACAGGATCTATGGACAAGACCATATTGGCCTATAAAAAATGTCCTGCATCCACCCATTTTGATAGATATTAAAAAAAAGTTTTTTTACAGATATAAAATATATGAAATTTTGAAAATTTATTAAAGGAGATGTTTGTAATTTCTATCACCTATTTGCAATATTGAATATAACTCAAATGATTTGAACATGGGAATCTATACAAAATAATCAGTGGTGTTCCTGGCGCTTCACACAATCCAATGTGTTGTCGGTCCTATCCAAGATGTATGGAAGAAATTTCAGACAATCTTGCGAAATGTTTTTTACATTTTATTCATTTTATACATTTTATGTTTGTATCCATTTTATACTATTATACTACCATAATTCTGTATTGAACTATTCTAAGGTGTATACAGGTAGCACAGAATTCTCAAACAGCCAGATTCACTGAAAGGATGATTTGTGCAAAAAGTCATAATAATTCGCAACATGTGGACTCATGTCAAGGAGACAGCGGAGGACCATTGGTTAAGGTATCTAAAGATACAATATACAATTGAAAAAATAAGTTGTGGCTGTGCCAGATTTTTATATGTATTCAGTTTAGTCATTATCTGGTTGTTCCATGAATTAGAACCAGTTGACAAGGTTTTGGTGAGCATTGTCTTTGTTCAATAATTTGTATTTCATTGTATGGTTTGAACTTAATTTCACCTAATGACCCTACCTGCTCTTAAAATTTTATTTTATTTCAACTGCTTAACCTGGTCTTGTATAATGTATTTTTTTTTCGGATAAATCCAGCATTCAGAATAATTATGTGGCCTTATACTGAAACTAATCTGTATTAAGTCAATTGATTTGAATAAGGATGAGAGAGCAAATAATGAAAAGATAGCTAAACTACTGTTCATTGCCGGGTACATTCTGTAGAATAACCTTATCCAGTTATTGCGTTTATGTATCTGGACCAGTAAAATGATGAAATAATCTCCATATTAAGATGGTTTATTTATTAGGAATACGCTCGCCACCGCACCTCTAACTACTCTGCGTGGGTTCGCAGGTTCGAATCCCATGCAGGGATGGTTATGTGCGAGAGGATTGCTGGACTCCTCGCCGTCGTTGGGTGGTTCACGTAACCGCTGGTCGGTTACGGCTTCCTCCACCACCAAGTCCATGCTTTCGAAAACAAACAATACAGTAAATCTAATCCCATACCCGACTTGGAATGGTAACCGGACGAGAGGCCGTGGTTCGCCATATGGATAAGCCGTCTTATCGGCTTTCCTCTCCCCCGGGATAAATATGTAAATCCTATCCTATCCTATCCTATATGGCGAACCATATCGTATCGTTCATTAGGTTGATTATACTAAAATTCTGAATTATGTTTATCAAAAGGATCACTTTTCAATTTTTATGAGGTGTTTCAGCCTTTTCCTCCAAGCGAGGCTCTAAACAAGCAGCCATGATATGCATGCTGTAGGATAAATCATTCATACAATTTGACTCTGAGAATGATTTCTGGGATTCAAATCTGCATGCAGTTCGAATCTGAGATTAATTTCTGGGATTCATATCTGTGTTCACCCATGGTCTTTCAACCTCATAATATGACCCACTAATTTGCCATAGCAAGTGGTAGTAGTAATTTGCAAATCAGCTCCACTTTATATTTGATGCACTGTGTATTTTATATCACTATCTCCAATAAGCAAAACTATTTACAAAATTCATAAATGAGCAACGAAATATTATTGTTTCAAATAGGTTGTTGGCCCCAAAGAAAATCGACGTTGGATACAAATTGGTATCGTGAGCTGGGGTCAAGGTTGTGGAGATATGTATCCAGGGTTTTATGCATATGTACCATATTTCATGGATTATATAATAATGACAATAAAAAAAAATGAGGAACCAAGTAAAAAAGTACCAGGTACATTTTCTCTTCAAATCCTGGCTCATACGACATTAGACAGGAGAGTTTAATTATTCAATAGCGATGGGAAATCTCACCTTGTGACATAAAAAAACATACGGTTTATGAAAAAGCATGATACTCTTTAATTGGGCTTGCAAGCATTATGGCAATACATTAATATAAGTAAAAAACACAATGAGATACTCTCTTATTAGGCTTGAACTTTGTGAGCATTGTTATAATAAATACCGTGAAATGAATCCTTGAGCAGTGAAAATATAAGTAATAAAAGTGAAATAAGTGGACACAGATTAGCCCAGGCATTCTAGGTTACATAGTCTTCAAAACCAATCTAAAATATCACATGTGTACACACCACCTGAGTGATGTACATATAATATGCTGAACCTAAACAAAGAGCAGACTATACCGAATTTAAACATTTTTGAAATATGCCACATGGTTAAAAGAAATTATCATGGTGGAGGTTTGGAAATAATTTTTGCATCATTTTATGTAATCCTCGTAAACTAGAATTGTTTAAAAAAAGGTCACATGTAATTATATGGTGAGGAGTGAAATCTTCGATTGTGATATCACTTAGTGGAGATGTATTTTAGGTACAGAGGCACCAGTTACAACAAAAGAGATTACACCAACTACATCACCCAGTGAAATAGGGTGTGGCCAAATAGATAGCAAGTATGCGAATAGAGGAGAAACAAAATCTGTGCCTGGAGAGTGGCCATGGCACGTTAATATTATTATTACCAGATCAGCATGTAGTGATTTTGTGAGTATATATGATTCTATCATATTCTGTGAAATAAATTTTGCTATGATTGAGATAATATATAAGTAAAAATATGAAGTTTTTAAATCCAAGGCAATTCGATCCTATTTGCAAATTGCACCGTGTTTCCCAACTGGGAAGTGATTCCTTTCCAGGGAGGGATTTTGATTTGTATTTGCTGTAGTACTACTAATATTCCTTAGTTCCTCTTTATTACTTTAATAATCATTCATGCACACATTATAAGCTACTCAAATAACGATATCTCCAAAATGTCGTGTCCCACTTGTCCCGTGGTACAAGAGTGGGACACATGGTACAAGTCAGACACTTGGTACAAGTGGGACACATGAGTAACGAGGAATATGTGGTACAGGTGGGACACGCAGGACAAGTGCGGCACAACATTTTTGAGACACCCCAAAATAATACAAAAGCATAACATTAGCCATGAATCTATTAAAGATTGAAAAATAAAATACTCCTTATGCATAGTGAGGGAGGAATTAAGAGTTTTAAAATTGGTGAAGGAATTTAACAAAAATGATTAGGAGCCACTGAAATAGAATAAAGGAAAATTTTTGAACACCTGTGATAAAGGATTGTTGGACTACTCTACCCAGCCTAGATTATGTATACATTTGTTGGTTATGGCTTTTTCGCTAACAATGTTCATGTATCCGAACAACAAATAACTGGTTAACTATTTCCGATCCTGACATAGTATATCATATTTCTATTTTTCAGATTACATCTGCATTACTATTGCACTCAGGGTCTGGATCACTTATAAACAACAATTGGATTTTATCAGCATCATATTTATTTACTAGCATGAAAATTGCCTTGAGGGAACAATGCGCCATTCTTATTCTAGGTGAGTACTATATTTGAATACCATGTCAACTGTCATTTACACAGCCTGAATGTATAGTCGTACAGATGATATGTGTAGAGCAGAAGCCTGTTTTTTTTCTAGAGTCTGTATAATATCTCTAGCAAGTAGCAAAACAAGCTAGATTTTGCCAAAGCCTTGGAAAATCTCCATACTCATTGTAAAAGATATCCTCAAAAATATAGTTCCTTTTTTAGCATCGCTTAGTCGTACATTCACCTGTAAGGCATTTAATGGAAAAAAAGAGAAATTACTGCATTTTTAAGGTTCTACAAAGTTTTCATCATCTTCTAAAAAAGCAAGAGCTTTCCAAGCAGCCGAGATTTTTCTCCATCCAGATCGCAACATAAGAAGCCAATATGACTATGATGCTGCTCTGGTAAAAGTTGTTCATATTGTAGCAAAACACTTTACAATATTCATTAGACTGCTGAATGAATGAGTCCTTGAGGGAACAATGCGCCATTCTTATTCTAGGTGAGTACTATATTTGAATACCATGTCAACTGTCATTTACACAGCCTGAATGTATAGTCGTACAGATGATATGTGTAGAGCAGAAGCCTGTTTTTTTTCTAGAGTCTGTATAATATCTCTAGCAAGTAGCAAAACAAGCTAGATTTTGCCAAAGCCTTGGAAAATCTCCATACTCATTGTAAAAGATATCCTCAAAAATATAGTTCCTTTTTTAGCATCGCTTAGTCGTACATTCACCTGTAAGGCATTTAATGGAAAAAAAGAGAAATTACTGCATTTTTAAGGTTCTACAAAGTTTTCATCATCTTCTAAAAAAGCAAGAGCTTTCCAAGCAGCCGAGATTTTTCTCCATCCAGATCGCAACATAAGAAGCCAATATGACTATGATGCTGCTCTGGTAAAAGTTGTTCATATTGTAGCAAAACACTTTACAATATTCATTAGACTGCTGAATGAATGAGTCTAGTTTTATTTCTCCTGCCGTGTAGCATTAATATAAAATAAATAGTTATGCTAATATAGTGATTTTCCTTTCACACAGAAACCTCTTTAGGTGATCCTTATATGGTATACTAATTCTGTTCAGATACGAATTGGAAAACCGTTAAAAACTGTTAGAAATGGATGGATGGTTGATGATTCTGCTCAACACGGCTTTGTGCAGTTTAATGATTTTATTCGACCAGTTTGTTTACCGTGCTTAACAGAATGTGGAATGTCATCCTCTTACACTGTCAAACAATGTGTAGCTCACGGTAAAAATGTTTTATTAAGAACCAACGTGGGAGTATGAAAAATTATTCTTTATTGATATCGATATATTATTCAAATATTACGTGAAATGAAATTGTCAATAGTTCTATTACATTTAAAGCTGTTTTAAATGGGTTTTATTTTCTGCCAGTCATTGCTCTGAAGTAGACTCTGGGCAAGTAGTTACTGAGTAATAATTAAAATTGTAATTTCATTAGAATTCTGTGATATATTTATGATCCCATCTTATAGCAAATATGTACATTAATTTGTCGTCTGTTTCAGCTTTTTCATTCAAACTGTTGTCATTTCTCAAAATAATTTAACTAGAATATTGTACAAAATAAAATAATCATCACTAGCACTTTGCTTTTGATTTTCCTTTTTTTTCCATTCAATTTTTAATTATGAATTACCGGTATGTGCTATTTTAGGGAAAGCCCTCGCTTCCATGTTATCCCCAACAACTGGAAAAAGGGCGCTCATGACTGGGGTCAATGTGAGAGATACAAAAGTGCTTGCAAATAACGATCTCGAGAAAGATACTGTGACAATATTGCATAGGGGCAGGTAAAGGTATATTTATTGCTAATGCAGAATACAGACCTTCGGGGCGGGCCATTGATGTTCAGTTGATGGTCTCAATTTTTCTATATTATAAAATATCAGCAGTTGTATGTTTTTAATTGTGGATTACTGAGTATTGTTTGTAATATGACTCATTGCCTGCATGCTGCCAAATGTGTGAAAATTTTCAAATAATGACTGACCAAAGATGGATAAAGTTGGGATGTTGTCCTTGGCAGTGTTTTTAACATAGCCTTCCAAAAACCTCTAGAACAGAGTTTCTCAAACTTTTTGGGGCACGGACCCCTATTCGAAAATTCTAATTTTGACGGACAATTTCAGTGCCTAACCAACGAGTAAAGATAATGTTGCATTTACAACACAACACAAACAGCATTAATGTGATGAATTACGTTACTTTTCACTGCAAATTTATAAGAGTGAAAATGCTGCCTCACGAATGCAGGTCGTTGCAAAAGGATTTTATTTGCCTTTTCTGACAGCAATGAATATTCATCCACAACACTAAACAAAAAATATGCACTTTCTTTTTGATTGAAATCAATCATTAAATATTGATCAAATTTTTTTCCTATCGTTGCGGACCCTCTCTGCAGTTGTCATGGACCCCCAGGAATCCGCGGACCCCAGTTTTGGAAACCCTGCTCTAGAAGCACAAAAGGATTTCGTATATATATATACGGATATTACGAAAATTTAATAATGCAATAAATTTATATAATCTTTTGTGATAATTACAGGTGTAGGCGCGAAATGAAGAAAATCGATATTACTGTGACTTTCACAGATTCCATGTTGTGCACTTTATCGAGGAAAGCTGATGCTCCATGCTTGTCAACAGGTGGAAGTGCTTTAGTAAAACAAGTGAGTAGCTTGACTGTGAGACTTGAGTAAAAAAAGATAAGAGATTTAAGTAAAAATACCTTAAACATGAAAGTGAATCACTGGCAAAGCAGTAGTGATTCAGTATGTTTCAGAATCTTTTTGGTTCAGTATTGTTCGTCCAGTTTCTTACTCAATATATGGCATAGTGTGCCTGAGATAGTGTGTTAGGTAAATTTAAAGATGAACAAAAAATAAAAAAGTTTTTCAAAATTTATTTAATATAATTTGAAAATGCCCATGGGAATTTATTTATCGAAATAAGTCATATATGGTGGAAGTTGCACCAACTTCAACTCCTGATTGCTATCGCTAAAATGCATTAAGAATAAAAGTTTCTATCACATATGTTCTCACAAATTTTATATTCAGAAGATATTTATTAAATAAATTGATGCAGATAGAAGATGGTAAATGTTGTTTCAATTGCTTTAGATTTTTCTATAGGGAATTTTTTGAACTGTCGGTCAGATGTTGATTGCTTATACTAAAATTGATAGATATCAAGTTCACTTTCTTGCATAAAGTGGAATTGTAAATTGAATTTTGGGCAAAAATTATCTGGTCTGTAATGACTAGTGTATTATTATTACCTATTGCTTAGCTCAATTAGGTAATGATCAAATAAATTCCAGATTGGTAAAAGTAAACTATTACTTTCAGATCAAAATGGGTGATAAAACTTGTTGGATGCAGTTAGGTATAGCCACTTTTGGTGGACCCTGCAATAAAATTTCTCCTGAATACTACACAGATGTGACAACAATACATTCTTGGATAAAGCAGAAAATACAACCAAAAGGTAATTACCGTATACCAATTATTCTACTAATTATTGATGTGATTTGAAAAAGATTTGTAGAGGGTGATTAACAGTTCAATTACTGCACCTTCACACCCATGTACATACCAGCCAATTGCAATAAGTCTACTTGCACCCACATATATTTTCGGCTGTAACTTTGCACCAGTGAATGTTAGAACTCGCAGATATTATACTCTCGTTTATTTTCACCTGTGGTAGATTTGCTAAAATTTGTGGATGCAAATGTCTGTGTGCAGTTTATGAGTGCGAAGGTAGGTTACATAGTTGCAAAGATGATAAAGCCAGCAGCTCGACACATCCTGATAAGCGCAAGGAATGTGCTCGCCCCCATACCTCTAATTATCCTGTGCAGGTTTGAATCCAGTGGGGGATAATTATGTATGAGACGTTTGCTGGACTCCTCGTCGCAGTAGGGTGGTTCACGTAACCACTGGTAAAGAGTTCCTTCACCAGGTCCTTGCATCTGAAACAAATAACTGACTAATCAATTCCATACCCAACAGGGATTGGTATTTACCGGTCACTATCAATCAAGTTTATTTTTCTTTCCAACCAGTAAAAAATAAATAAATAGCACAGGCACAAATTACAAGAAAGTAGTACACAGTTTTACTGGGGAAGGGAAGTCGCGGGGAACCAAAAATGGTTATCGAGCAGTGACACCCGAAGTACCACTGTTAATATTGGATGAACAATAAATAAGGTGAACACTAAACACAATAAGTAAGGTGAACACTAAACGCAATAAATAAAGTGAACACTAGAAACAAATATGTTAAGATATTGTTTATAGGGGGGAAATTCTTTTTATAATTTGAAGGTTAGAGGGCTGTTTTTTTTAATTGGGCACTAGTTGCAAAATTTGTTATTATATGAGGGAAATTGTTATCAAAGTTATTTGAGATTTGGGCAAAAATTATAGAACATGGACATAGCAGCAATACAATAATAATATGACTTGAATACGTAGGAACTTAACCTAGTCGTCTTTTTTCATCTATCCATAGTCATCAAGTAGATGAATTTTTAATCGCTTACTGAATGTTGCAAGTGAGTTTTCTTTAATATTAGACGGAATTTTTTCCCAAATTAGAATGCCTTCTGTTTCGAGCGTTTTTTTTGTTAATGAAAATGAACATCGAGGCATGAAATAAGTCCTTTTTGTAACAGTTATGAAATATAGGGGGTAGCATATGATTTTCGAAGCGATACATAAATTTGGCAATTTCAGAACGATAGATATCTTTCAGTTGCAATACTCCACACTGCTTGTATAAGAGTGAGTTGCTGCTGTGCTGTGATTCTGCAGATAGCATGCAGCCAATTGCTTTGTTATGCAGAATTACTAGTGGTTTTAGCGTAGTTTTATTAGTTCCTGCCCAACTTATATTGCCATATTTCAGATGAGAGTATATGAGACTATAGTATACAATTTTTATTGCATCGATGCCGAGGATTCTACGTAACTTATACAGTATTCCGAGTGATTGTGAGACTTTTTTACATAAGTGATCAATATGAGGTTTCCATGACAAGTTCTCATCTAGGATTATACCCAAATACTCAATACATTTTGCTCTTTCTATCTTTTTATTGTCAATTTGGAGATGGAACTGCCAATTAGTTTGTCGGGAACCAAAAAACATGAATTTAGTTTTTGAGGGGTTCAATGATAATTTATTACTTTTTAGCCATAAGTTGACCATCTCGATTTTTTTATTGATAGAAATTTGCAGTTCTTCACAGCACGCAGCAGAATCAATGAGCGCGGTATCGTCTGCAAAAAGAGTCGAGTCTAAGCTAGTTGCCGCTGGTAAATCATTGATATATATTAGAAATAGAAGCGGTCCAAGAGTACTCCCCTGTGGGACACCACATGTTATATATTCCAGCGAAGAGATGCCGTCGATGCATTCAATGTACTGTTGTCTCTCACTTAGATATGAGTATAATAATTTGAGAGGTAAACCTCGGATTCCATAATGGGACATTTTACAAAGCAAAATTTCATGGTTCACAGTGTCAAAGGCTTTAGCCAAGTCTAAAAATACAGTACAGGTAACCAGGCGCGCAGCCAGGATTTTCAAAGGGGGGGGTTTCATAATCATAAATTCCCATTGCGGTCTGTAACAGTCTTCGCATTACGCGCTCGTTAAAGGGACGTCTTTTCAGCGTATAATGATTATTCTTGTCGCGTGAAATATTCAATCTCTGACAACTACAAAACTCTAAAATGTCTTTATATATTAGTTTAATTGTGTCCAACGTAACTCGCGGTTGCTTCTTCTTACGTCAAAATTAAAACATTAGTTCTCTGAAATGACACGGTGATCGGTGGACATAAAAATATGAGATATACAGTGTATTTAATTTTAATACGTATTTTTGGAATCTTGCCAACTCGTTATCGTCGTTAGAAAAATCTCAATAACTGATATAAAATCCCGAAAAGTACAATTTTATTTCGTACAATGAAAATGCATATGAAGTATATTGTTAAATCCAAAATACATATTCATCGCCGCGATTACGCCACTTGTTAAAAGAGCCGACGTTTACAACGAAAAACGATTTTTCTGTTGCGCGAAGTTATCAATTCGTGACCGATAGGGGCATATTTAAAATGTCTGGCTTTATTAATTTAATTGTCTTCAATTTAACCAGCGTTTGCGTCGATAAAACAAAACAATTTTTTACAATTCACAATTTTAAAATACCTCGGCCATTTGCCGACATAAAAATTTGTGGTAACTGCCCGTCGCCTATCATAATATTGTTTTGATCCGTATTTTTTCTATTTTGCGAATTCGATAAATTTGAGATATGCTTGTAACATTGACTCCGTTCAATCGCAATGCTGACACTCCGATTATTTTTAAAGATAAAACCTCCTGAAAAATCCGTAAATCTGCTGTAAATTCTCTTGGAGTAAAATTTATTTCAGTACAATAAAAATTGATGGATATACTTCGGATTAATTATCTTATATATCATCACAAACCGGGAAAAAATCGCGTTTTCAACCTTGTTTAATGATAACACGAAAATTTTCTACGACAATTTTCAAGTAATTGATAAAAGGCAAATCAACCGTGTTTCGATTTTAGTGACAGTATGTTTATAAACGCCGACCAAACATGCGATTTTGCACTAGAAAAGCGTTTTTAGACTGTCGCGGGACTCAACAAAACTTATATTGTTTACTATTTAAATTATGGGTATTTTATAATGCCGCTTTTCAATCAAATTTAGATCGCGGGTTTACTCCTTCTTTTGTCTTTAGAACCTCGCCACCGATGAACATATAATAACTCATGAATTTACAATTCCGTGCCAAGTACAAAAATAAAATAATCATCATGTTTATCGTGACACAAATTTATGATTTAGAAAGAATAAAAACCGACGTAAGGGCGTTTAAGGCCTAAATAACACGCTGATGAAAACATGGGCGATTTTAGCAGAAGGCAATTGCACGCTTTTTCAGTTTTCACATTTCCATGCGGGTACAAAAATAAAATAATTACCATTGTTCCCGCGGCACAAATTTGTGATTTAAGGAGAATAAACACCAATGTAAAGGGCGTTCATGGCATAAATAACATGCCGCGTTTATGAAAACGAACGGCGATTTTAGCAGAAGGCAATTGCACGTGTTATCGGCAACTTTTTCACTTTTCAGAAAATTCAAAAGGGGGGGGGGGTTCCGACTCCAACCCCCCCTGGCTGGGCCACTGCAGGTAACTCTGCCTTTTGACAAGTTTTCAAATATATTTTCTTTCAATTTTGTCACTGCGAGTTCGGTCGAGTAGTCATTTCGGAAACCAAATTGGGATTCATTCAGCACATTTGTTTTGTCAAAGAGACTGCTAGACGATTATACAAAATTTTTTCATAAATTTTGGCGAACTGAGAAAGGAGAGAGATAGATCGGTAATCAGTAGGGTCAGATTTTGTGCCTCTTTTATGAATCGGTACTACTTTTGCTAATTTTAATATTTCAGGATAAATACCTTCTCTAAAACTTTGGTTGATAATTTTTGTGAGTGTCGGAGCTAAAATTGATTTTGCAATCTTGATAAGCTGATCGGTATACTATCCGGCCCTACTGTCTTGTTGGTATCTAATTTATCAATTAGACTTTCAACTTCGCAAGGTGTAGTTTCCTGAAGAAAGAATGAGTTTTGCAATAAAGGACCTAGAAATGCGTCAAATTTGTTTGGAGATGGCCCAATTTTAGATGCAAGCTTGCGGCCAATACTTGAAAAGTGTTTATTCATAGCATCACAAATTATATTGCTATTATAATTTTTTCACCGTTAATTTCGATAAATGATGGCAAGTTATCAGTTTTTGAGTTTTTGTTTATAATATTACGAATTTGCTTCCAAGTTTTTGCAATTGTTTTTTTGACATACTTCCAATTTTTCTTTGTAGTAGTTTTTTCTTGCAGTCGAGAGTGAGTTTTCAAGACATTTTTTATAGGTTTTGTATTTCTTGAACTTTCCAGATTTTTTATTCTTGTAACTATTTTCATACATTTTATTTTTTACTCTAATTGATTCAGCAAGCCAGCAGTAATCCAGGGTTTTATCCTCATTTTAACTTCTTTTTTAGACAAGGTTTTTAATGGCACATGTTTATCAATAACTTCTTTGATTGTTTCAATAAAAATTTGACAATTGGAGTTAGTATCTCTCTCTGTGTTTAAGTCGCGGTTCAGTACACCTGTGAGATGTTCTAGATAATTTTCTGGCGAAAAATAAGAAAAATCTCGTTTGCGCAATTTTATGTTAGATTTTTCACACATTAGTTTTGTCTCTATTAGTAAGGGAAAATGATCAGACAAGTCATTAGTTACAATATTTGTACTCGTTTCTAGTTGCATATCATTAAGGTATACATGGTCCAATAGGGTTTCACTTGTCAAGCCTAGTCGTGTAGGCTTGTTTACACCACACAAAAAACCTGCACTATGTATAGCATCTACATAATTTTTAACTTTGTGATCAATGTCATATTTAAGAATGTCAATATTGAAATCCCCAAATATAAATAAACTAGAACCATATGAGCTGAGCTGTGAGATCACTGAAACAAAACTTTCTTGGAATTCAGAATACAAATAAAGAGGATGTCTACAAACAACTCCAACTATTAATTTTTTTTGTTGTATATTATAACTAGTATTACTAATTTTCAGTTCAATCCAAATGTTCTCACAGCCAAGGACTTCAAAATTAAGATCGTTCGTTCTATAACATGTATATTGTCTAGTACATATATTCCTACTCCACTGGCATTAGTCGGTGAGTCACGATGAAAAAACTTATACCCTTTTAATGAAATGTTGTGGTCAGTCTCACCAAGTTTGGTTTCCGAAATGGCTATTATTTCAGGTAAGTTTATTGCCTGGCTAAGAAAGAGTTCAATTTTTTCGTTGTTACGGTATAAACTTTGTACATTGAAGTGCATCATGTGCATTGTCCCTTTTTGCTTAGCAAGTAATGCTGGGATGGCTAATTGGGTATTTATATAGTTGCTACCAAGGTTCCATTGCACGACATCTCGTATTATATCAGAATTGGCATAGTCAGTAACGCTTTCGAAATCATATGCCACCGAAAGATTTTCTGCTGTACAAACTCTACAGTAATATGGAGTGGCGCTATTACCTAGGCTAAGAAATTGTCCATACGATAATAATGAACATTTAAAGTGAATGCACTGTTCACTTATATCACAAAATATGCTATCATCATCATCTGTTAAGGTATCAGTACAAAGTTTACAAGTATATTCATTAGCAGGGCTCATTTACATTCTAAGATGTTGGAGGATCTCCAACATTTTTAAAAGTATATCCCTCATATTCAAAAAAAAAATCCCAACACGATTGCAAATTAACAACATGAAACTATCGAATTTTAACTAGATCATCAGAATTAGATATTTTAAAGAAGCTGCCCCTTTGTTCTTTCTAACAAATATTTTTCCATGGTAGGTATAGGCAAACATATAGCCTTTTTGATTTTTTAGTTGACTTACTTGATAAAATAATTGCCTTTGTAGGTCTGTAAGGTTTTCATTTATGTATATGTTTTTATGCTGTTTGAGCAAGTTAGATTTTCTACTGTAAATTTCATCTCTTTTGCTCTGTCGACAAAATCTGACTATGATACCTGAGTTTTTATCTTTTGGTCCAATCCGGTGTGCAGCAGATATGTCTTCATGCTTCAATTGAACATTAATCATTCCAGTCACTTCCTTGACTATATCAAACACATTTTCATTTTCTACTTGCTTGTAGCCATGTATTTCCAGATTCAGTCTTCGATCATATTGCTCAAGCTCATTCTGTTTTGAGTTTTGTTTATTGCTCTCTTCTTTTAGTTTGTTTATATCCCTCTGAATACCAGCAATCATTTTGTTTTGTTCTTCTATCTTTGCCTCCAAATCATTAATTGCATTCTTGGTCTCAGTTTGTTCATTGCCCATGAAGGTTTGGCTATCTTTCAAGTCAGTAACGTTTGATTTCATATTTTTGTGTGCCATACTCATTTTTTCAACCCCGTCATTCAGCATATTTTGTTTTTCAATGAGTGAGCTTATTGCCTTACTGTTCTCATCAGCAATTTTTTTCAATTTTTGAATTCTGTTCAGCAAATTGATTTTTGATCATTGTCTCTATTTCTTCTTTCATAATTGTTATTATCTTTGTTTGGTAAATGTCTAGAATGTGCCTCATATCCAACATTGGTACACCTAGAGTAGGATTTTCTTGATGTACAAGCTCAGATGAAATGGAGCTGTTCATTAGTCCCCCATAGCTATCTTGATTGCCAGGTTGATTGAGATGGTCACTGATGGTATCATGCAAAATACCGGCATCCGAGGTGGTGTCACTACTTTGAAATACATCATCTTCATCAGTATGTTTGTTATTTTCCATATTGAAATCAATAATCCGATCAGTTCAGTTAATCACTTTTCATTCGAACCAGGAGTAAACAAATTTATGGCCTATTTTAATATAACTTGATAACAGCAATAATGGTAATCAGATGAGAGGCCTTCCTTTGCCATATGAGGAAGCTGTTTCATCAGCTTTCTTCTCCCTCAGGATAAATAAGTAAATCCTATCTGGAATGAACATGTGAATAGTTACATATTTCCCACTGTTTGGCCAAGTGAATCATTGTCAACCTAAATACAACTATGTTCCTACTACATTCAGAAATTTGTGGAACAGTTCCAGTGAAACAGCCAACTTCTGGCCACCAGTCATACCCAGGGCAATGGCCATGGCGAGTTAGTATATTTGACTGGAATCCATTAGCTATAAATAGTGATTTAATAGTTGAACCGGTAGGTACCTATTTTATCATCTTTTTATTTTATGTAAATCACTAAATATTGTAGGTAATGATGACCAAAATAACAAAAAATAAACTATGGATATTAGAGAAAATTAAATTCATAGTATACTCACAGAATCTTAATTGGCTAACTGCTATTTTCCAGTATTTGCATTTTACTTTAGAACTATTTTTGAACTGTTATATTTTTTCATCCACCAGGTTAGCGGTGGAATGATTATAAATAAGAAGTGGATACTTGCAGCAGGATCGACATTTGAATATATTGACTGGCCCAAATCTGCTATTATTGTATTAGGTAATACTTCATTCTAAATTCGAGGAATACAACTTTCAAGGATGTGGTGCACTTTTCCAATACTGCATAATAGAATGTTATGCTGAATGCTGGCAATGAGAGATAACTTTGAATATAGTGCACTAGCATTATGTTAATTTCAGCTTTTGCTTATATTTTTTTTAAACTATGATAATGAGTTACTGGCTTAATATTTTAATTTTGACAAAGTTAGAAAATATATAAAAAAACGCATAACCATACATCTGTATAGTTACAGTCGCTTTTAACATGTTAGTGGTTGCATGTCTTTGTTTAGAAAATAGTCCCTTTATTCCAGAGTGAGTGCATGTGAGTGAGTGCTTGCATTGAGCGAATCCTCAGCACAGATCAAATCAGACCACAAAAATTCTTATCTAGAGCTTTTAACTAGGCATGAAAATGGAGATGTGAACAATGAATTAAATAGAGTGACTGGTAATTATCATTGATATTGTGTAATTATAAATATATGTTTCATGGAAGAATGACTTGATGAATTATAAAAACTCAGGTTCCAATGTTACCCAACAAAATGTTCTGTTACAACTCTTTTCAAAAAAACTTTACAGATTGAATATATCTCTACAGGTTTTAAATATATTATATTAATATTCATTCAGGTGCGACAGCTCTTCCAATTAACGTTTATAACATGCCCGATTATATGCTGATCTATCAACCAAAAACTATTATTACACATCCTCAATATTCTCTCGAAGAAAATGATATTGCACTGGTAAATGAGTATCTAATTTTTATGTGTTTTGCACAGCGAAATAGGATAAAATTGATGTTAATCATTCAATTTAAATAATTAGGAAAAAAATATATGGACTTCAAAAGTTCATTAACTTCTTTTATTGCAAAATGGCTCAATCATGCAATAGCTTGTTTTTCCCTAACAAAGAATTATTGCTAAAAATCCTGATGTGAAGTGTGAAAAGAATTTCACAAACTACTCATTTATCTAACTATGTATTGAATGAACATGAAGATAGAATTTAATTTTAAAAATGTAGAAGAGTTTATTTTGAAGCACGGAACATGAAATGCTTTCATTAGAGTAGTATGTTGAATTCGTGGGCAGAAATTTGTTTATACTGCTGAACGTGGAATCATATTTGTTTTTTTTACAAACCACATATACAACATATAATCAAGTCAATAATTTGGCAATCCCAAAGCAGGCTGTCTTGTACATATTGAAGCCTTGGTAACATTGTTTTGTGTAGTCTTGTTCCTGTAAAACTTATTTATTGTGCCGAAAACTTTTGTACAAAACTATACATTGGGTATCAGATTTGGGTCTTGAAACCATACGCGGGTGTATTTTTTTCACTTTTATGATATATTTTTTAGGTTGAAATTGGTGATCAACTGAAAGTCAAAAATGGAAAATTGGTGGTTGATTCTGATAAAACAAGTGGAGAAATAGAGTTTAATGATTATGTTCGTCCAGTTTGTCCTCCATGCATAAATGATGGTGTAAAAAAATCGAATACTAAAAGCTGTAGGATGCATGGTAACTCAATAGAAATGTTTTTAAATAATTATAGAAAAACTACTTCAGAACAATATCAAGCATAATGCGAGACTGTAAATGTCAATGAACCTGGTAAGCATGACAAGCATTGAACATTACAGTTTTTCCCCAAACTGTAGCTCTTTTATCCCTCTCAATATTTGCAAACATCATATTTATTATGTAGCAAACCTAAATTCTTCTGCCAGTCGTTACATCTTCCAATGGCCACACTTACCATGAAACATCTAGGAAATATATAAGTGTTTTTTTTTATTAATAAAATAAATTTTGTCTTTTTGTCTTGTAGGAGATGATCTGGCTTACAATGTTCAACCGACCAGCCCAGCATATTTTGTGGGATTTGCTATCCAAAAAGGTATAAAGGGACAATCAGTGGAAAGTGATCCCATGACTCTTGTGCAACGCTCTGAAAAGATGTATGTCATATTGTCTGTTTTAATGAATCAAAAATTGGTTTTCATATACCTGAGTACAACATAACAGGCGTCTAACAGAAAGCTGTGGATGATTTTTGCTTCGGGGTGGTGGTAATTGACTCAGATGACCGTATATGGTCGTATTGTTATCACCAAGTCATGTACCGAAAACTGCAAAACTGTGTTGTTTTATTATTATTTGTTATTGCATCATCATTATGTTTTCTGGTTTGACGAAAAAAATAAATTTTTTCTCTCTCTCTCAGGATGTCCACAAAAATTGACATTGAGCTTCCACCTTTATGCCTCATTTTTTTCACATCACATCACAACAATTTTTTCAATTATTTGGCAAGTCATTAAAAATATTGAATCAGGCTGCAGGCTCATTCGAGTTTTAGCACAATCTAATCATTTTATGTTGCTAATAAAAACTTGTTCATAAAACAATCAACCAATTTGACAATTTAATTTTAGATGCAGAGGATCATCTTTAATTAAATCAACAAAAACCATAATGTGTGTTAGACCATCTCGTGCTGATGCACCATGCCAAGGAACTAGTGGTGATGGCTTGGTGAAAAAGGTAAATCACCATTTTCTAATATGCTAGCAGTGAATTGTTTATCCTTATCTTGGTTCATAGGGGAGTTGATATACTCATGCAAACATATCGTCTTGTCCGGCTTCTACTCAAATAGGTTATAGCAGGGGTTCTCAACCTTTTTTCTGTCAAGTACCCCCCCGAGTCCCGAAGCAATGAACGCGAACCCCCGTAATCAGGCATTGAACAAAGTTGTGATATATTGACTAACAATTTGATGCAACAACGATTCATTGACCATTTGTAATTAAATATAATTTTCGCGTTGATATTATTGCCCTTCTCGTCTGCCTAACTAATGAATTCTTAAAATTTCAAAAAGTTTCAATAAGCTTATTCACTTTCTCCAATGCTCGCAGCACGCTGTCTTAGATATTTCAGTTTGCCTGCAAAGCCGTGAATTTGACATTTTTCCGTCACAATCACAACAACGCAAGATCAGTGAAAATCTACAATTCAATTGGCACACATTTTCGTCTGGTAGTAATAAAAAATATTAAAAAAGCAACACACAAAAACTCTGCTGTCTTCCAAGTACCCCTGGAAATACTCTCGTGAACCTCTGGGGGTTCGAGAACCCCAGGTTGAGAACCCCTGGGTTATAGGAATAGCTGACAAATTTGTAAACTTGGATGGACAAGAAAACCCCCACTAACCAGATTTGCTTGAAACGCCTATAATCGATAATCAGCAGTTTATTTTATGTGTGCGATAAATTAAAAAATATACCAGGGGTGGGCACAATATTTTAGTATAAGAGCCGCATGCTGCAAGTCAGAACTTTAAAAGAGCCGCAGAATTTGTGAATTTATCATTATTATCAAATTACCATGAACAGAAAAGAAATTCACACAAGAGTCTAATAACAATAAATAGATGAACAAGGCAGCTATGCTCAAATATGTGCATAATTTGAGCTCATTTAATTTGTGTTTCCTTATAGCTGATTTACAAGGGTAGTCTCGTAAGAAGTTTTCATGATTCGATTCATGGTGCCATTTAACATTGCTGACTTTATTCTGACTTAGTAGCTTATGGCAGATTAACCACAAAAATTTATTCTTCTGACTGGTAAATGCGTATTCTTCTTCCCATTCTGACTTGACAACTCTGTTTTTATCTTCGTACTTTCGTTTCTTAATTGAGGACATATCGCACAGTAACTTAGACTAACTAACCGCAATTAAGCTGCAATACCGCTGACGCATCAATAAACATTGTTCATTGTGACGAAAGATTTCCTGACTTGACTGACTTAAATTCAACGCTACAGCGATTTTCATACTGAAAAATAATGTGTCTTAATCATTGACGAAAACTTCTTTACGACTTTTATTAAATTAAAAGAGTTTACATTAAAGTTTTTCTCTTAGTTAAAATTTGGATAGTAATTTATGTTAGCGAGAAGAGCCGCACAAAAAGTCTGGCAAGCCGCATGCGGCTCGCTAGCCGCGGTTTGCCCACCCCTGAAATATACTTTCATGGTGAGGAAATAGTATAAAATTTTTCCATTTATCCAGGAGAGAGAAAAGTCAATAAGCCGGCTAAATCATATCGCAGACCATGACCTCTAGTCTAGTTACCAATCCATGTTGGGTATTACGGTAGATTAGTTAGTCTGGTATTTGTTAAACTTATTTGTGACAACAACTTTGTTCAGATTATTTCTGATAATGGAATAGAAAGATGGGTTCAACTTGGCTTTTCCAGTTTTGGTCCAGCTTGTGGATCAAAAGACAAGCAAGGAAATTTCAATCTGAATTTTTTCACTGACGTATCTTCCTTACAAGATTGGATTACGAGCCATACCGAAAAGGGTATGATCTAAATTTGAGTTGCTCTGTGAAAAATTGTAATAATTAGTTATAAAATAATTGTTTAAATTATTTCAGTGCCCAAATTTGGGTACATTTCAGTAGAAAAACGCCATTCGAACCTCCAAACCCACACAAGGTAATCAGAGGTGCAGTGGCTAGCCTTTAGTTGTACCGGTAATTAATTTTGTCTATGTTTAGGTTGGAAAGGGTTAAGAATTTAGGTTGAATCAGACATAGTATTTTTAAGTATATTAGGGGAAGTATCTGATTTTTCTAAGTTTACCTGCCACATCCTTTATGTTTTACTAACTCACGTTTTTCTCTTTTTGGAATTCCTATAGCTTTACCATATCTGGACCAGAATATTACTTTAAATAGTTTAATGTTTATTTCTTGCAGTTACTTGCGGGACAGCTCCTTTACAAAAGAAAGCATCAGATTCTGGTTATACATATACAGCATATCCAGGACAATGGCCATGGAAAGCAACTATACTTTCTAAACTACCATTGGCTCCTGATGGAAATATACAAACTAAACAAGTAAGGTTTATTTTTGAGAGATAAAATAATATCTACAAACAAGTATATTCTTTATCCTATGATTTTTCCGTATTCCCCCAGCCAGTTTTCAGTATCATGATTAATTTGATTTTATTATTTAACAGGTTGATGGTGGAACGATTATCAACAAAAAATGGATTTTGGCAGGAGGATCATCTTTTGTATATAGTAGCTGTATGAAATGCGTCATTATTGTGTTAGGTAATATTTTAGAATATGATTTTTAAAAACCACCTTTGATGTCAATCCTCTAATAACTGGTCTAATCTTCGGCACAAGTCTTGTCAAAATTTTTATTTTTACAGAAAGTAAGTTATAATATAAAATGGATCAAACAGATATCTGGCTGAGGTGTAACAGAAGTCAGTTTTTATGCCTTTCTCTATTTTACACCAAGTTCATGGTGATTCTTCAATGGTATTATCTTATGTGAGGAGCATTGCTGAACTCGATTGTTGTAAATATGGCTGTGATTTTTTTCACCTTGTACATCAATGCTCTCTGGAATGATTAGCTAGCTAGCAAAATGCAAACTCCAATGATTATGTATCCATGTGAGTGAGCTTTAATCTCTTTCGGATAAATTTGAAATAAATCAAATTCATGTCATATCTATCACAACCCTTCAAAATGGGGTTTTAAAGTCCCTAGTCCTAAATATGACAGTGATATTTGAATATATATATATTGGGTGATAAATGAGAATTACAAGCACAATAAAAACTATTAATAAACAAAAACCAAATTTTTTTTTACTTGTTTTTACTACAAAATTGGGTGAAATTTTTGGACACCTTGTTTACATATACCGTACCTATATTTCTCAAAAAATTTTGAACATACTCAATTCCTATTTTTCATATGACTCATTAGATCACCATGTTCCGAACAAATGCTTCTTGTATCTTATTTTCAATGTTGAAGTTTATTCATCCAGGAGCGACATCTATTCCAATCAACGTTAATACAATGCCAGATTACATGCAGATTTATCGTCCAAAAAAAATTATCTTACATCCACAGAGGTCTATGAAGGAGAATGACGTTGCATTGGTAAATTATGTTAATATTCAATTTGAATATATTTTGCTGGTTTAACATAACGTAACTAATTTGGTGGGAGTTTGTTTGGTATGGGGTTGGAAACCATTTATATACCCTGAATCGCCTACTGTATATGCAATGTAAATAGAATTTACTTTTCTACTTCATGTTATTCTTCAAGTAGTGTTTAATCTTTGTGACCTCTTAAAAGGCGAAACATTTCACATACAAACTCAATAGTGGATAGGATAGGATTTACATATTTATCCCAGGGGAGAGGGAGAGCCGTTAAGACGGCTTAACCATATGGCGAACCACATGCTCTCGTCTAGTTACCATTCCATGTCGGGTATAGAATTATTTGTTTTCGGAAGCATGTACTTGATGGTGGGAGAAAGCCTAACCGGTCAGCAGTTCTGTGAATCACCCTACGGAGGAGTCCAGCAATCCTCTCGCACATAATTAACCCCGCATGGGATTCCTAACGCTCCAAACGATGATTCAAACCTTGGCTCATTTGTATGAATCTCACTTCACATGAGCACTTGCCAAAGCATAGTATCTAAAAAGCGCAAATACAAAACATTAGGAAAATATATCTGCTGAGGTTGCACAATGTAGTTTTTTCGGTTTATTTTAATCATGCTATACTTAAATTTAGATCGAAATTGGCGATCGAATAATGGTTGGAAAGAAATCATGGGTTGTTGATCCTCATAAACCAAATGGAGAAATAGAATTCAATGATTATATTCGACCAGTATGCCTCCCATGCATCAATGATGGCGTCAAAAAATCTAAGTCAAAAAGCTGCAGGGCGCATGGTAATCTTTGGAAATAATAATTATTATTCAATTGTTAATATCGAAGTAAAATCGTAACTTACTAAAAATGTCATAACTTGTGCTCAGTTAGTTTTTTTTAGTTTTCATATGGGATTTATTTTAAATAAATATGATGAATTGAATTCATAGTGTCCTAGTTTACATATATCTTCTAACTAGAAAATTTCATACCATTGTAAAAATTTAAGGTTGTTTTTCCAATCGACATATTCCCTTGACAGATCAGAATAGATAAGGCTCCTGAAACAAATATTGGATATAATTAAAAAAGAAATATATAAAATCAACTAACATTCTCAATGCTCATGTCATTTTATTCAATGAGCGGATATTATATTTAAGAGCTTCTGTTGTTCCCCTCATTTTATTAATCTTTAAGTATGTTTTATAATATTCATGTCAATAAATTATCCTTTTTTGCATCACAGGAGCCCATCTGGCTCTCAATGTTCCGTCAAATGTGCCGATATATTTTGCAGGATTAAATATGATAAATTTCAAACAAACTTCAAAAATGGAAAGCGATCCCACAAGTATTGTACGCCGTTCTGATAAATCGTATGTTTATTTGTTTACCTCTATTTTATTACTTATTTAATATAACAGGTCGGCGACAAAATTTGAATTTAATGCATCGAATTGCAATAGCGAGCAGTTCTATATTCCTACCGCTTATATTTATTTCTCCTTTTATTGAAGCGTATGCACAATGCAAATAAATGATAAAATGTCGAGCACTTTCACAACAATCCATCTTATGCTATTTTAGATGCCAAGGATCGTCTTTAATTAAATCCACAAAAACCATATTATGTGTTAGACCTTCACGTGCTGATGCACCATGTCGAGGAACCAGTGGTGATGGTTTGGTGAAGAAGGTAAATGTTTCTATGTTTAATGTTTCAAGAATATTTACTATTTGTGTTTATTTCTTTGTCAAGCTTGGGATCTCAAATCTCTTTCCTGTGCTCCAGGCCGCAAGTCATGTAATTTATCTCAAATCACAATATTCATAGAACTATGCAGTTTTCAATACTTTTCTATCATATAGCGCTTATATGTATATATATATGTAATGGTAACCATAAAATTATGATAAAATTGCTTATCATAGTTTAACATGATGTAACATGACACATCTTTTATTGTGTCATCTTCAAAACACTACATTTACTAACATAGGTCCAATACAGTTATTTAGCAATCATTCGCCAGTCACAGCACTTTCTTTGTTCATCTTGTCAGATAAGTTAGAGTGGCCTCCCAAGTTCATGAATCCAAACAAGCATCCAAAAGAATAAATTGCCAATCAATGTGGCTTTTTCTTTTCCAATTAATTTCCTATTGGATTGGATTTGATAATTATTTGTATTGATTGTACTAACAACAAACTGCCGTAGTAAGTGAAATTGCAAATTTTTTTTATCCCTGTGTGTTACATTGTCTTTGGTAGGTTGGATATTCATGAAACAAAATAATGAATAATGAAGAGGATTTTTCAGGGAATCCCGGAATAGATGTTCTGAAACAGAACAATTGTTCCCTATTCTCGGACTTTAGTGGTGGGGGCGGCGGTTGCGTGTACCAACCTGTGATAGGAGTGAAAATTTGTCTGTGTATAATTATTTTACACTGATTTCAAACTGAAAACCAACATATGATATTCAACAAGCACTGTTTTGTGGAATTTTTTTAAACACACATGAAAATGCCAATTGCCGAGCGCCATATCAATTTACGCAGAGCGTCTCAAGAGTGTAGTTTTTTGCTGTCAAACAATGGTCCCAATTGTATGAATCTCACTCCATATGAATAGTCTAACCTTCTGCCAAAGTATCTATCTTAATACCTAATATTGCATGAATTCCAACTTAAATGCTTATTTTAAAATTATGCTCCAAGATATGACAATTTGGTGGGTTGTGTGGCTCTTCCAAGTAATAATGAGTACTCAATATTGCTTTTGGCAATAAAAGTTCTAGGAAAATATTGTACAATAATTTCTCGATCCTCAAATTTTTAGATAATATAGCCTTGCCAACATTTCATGGATTTTCGTATTTATATCGTTTTTTTATTTACAAATGAACTCGGCTATGACTATATGTATTGACTTTAAGCCTATGGGTCATGCCATTTTAGAAACGCCGGTGTAAGGTGGTGTGTATACACGCACAACTATATTGCATTTGTAGACTTTATTCACATTCGAAACAGAACACATTCCAGATAGATAAACTTAAAACAGTTAATGCACACAGTACCAACTCATAACAGCTAATGTCTCACAGTACACGTGATAAGTACAGAACTTCGAAGTCACCTTCAGACATGAACGGACACGGGTCAAAGGCCACTATATTACATCCCTCCAAACCTTAATAAAAAAAACACAAAAATTGACATCGATGGACGACAAACCATATGAAGACTTGATATCAAAATTTTAGGATTCAGCACACAAACTTTTGTTCAAGTCTCCACACAGATAAATATCGATATCAACTTCATGAAATACACTGCAAAGCACAGTACACATTATTTTCAAAATACAGTTAAGCAGTCAATACTGTAATTCGTCCCATATGAAAATCTTTAAATCTACTTGGCACTTTTGGACATCTTCTAGGACGATCTCTAACACTTGGAACAGGGGAACAGAAGGTGGACTTTCAGCAATAGGATCTGCTGTTTCATTATCAACATTCAAATTAACAGTATCGTCAGAAATATCATTATCATGTAAAACATCAGAATCAGTGATATTTGTAAAACGCTTGCGAAAGGTACAATCATTCACTTTTTTAAATAGAGAAGCATTTCTAGTTTTACTGCCAATATTGGGACTTTGTGCAGTAATCATAGAACCTTTTACATTTATAACATCCATAGGCTCAGGTCTATATGCTGAAGAAAGCTTATTGTTTCTAGTTTGTCTCAGGATCACAGAATCACCAACATGAATTTGTTCAGTCGGTTTTGAACAATTTCTTGCGTCAGCATACATTTTCTGTTTAGCCTTATAAAAACAATCACGATCACGTAAATCATTATCGACAGTAGGAACAATAATTTCAGGCAATAGGACTTTGATATTAGTACCATACAATAATTCAGCAGGTGGTCTACCTGTTGTAACATGGCGGCATGCCCTATAATTTCTCAAAAATTTATACATTTCCTGCTTCCAAGACTTGCCTTCAACCGTAGCAGTCTTGATAGCCTTACCCAAAGGTTTCATAAAATTTTCGGACTGGGCATTAGCTCTAGGCCACAAGGGAGTTATCTTTCTATGACGTATGCCACACAGTTCCATAAAACGTCTGAATTGATAACTTTGCCAAGGAGGACCATTATCAGTTTTCACAAGTTCAGGAAATTGAAAATATTTTATCAAGAACAGGAATGACATAAAAATTAGACGTAGCTTTTACAATTTCAACAACAGGAAAACGAGAGTATTCATCAATAACAACAAGACAATAGTCTCCACTGGGATATGGACCAGAAAAATCACAACTAACAGCTTGCCAAGCTTTTTGTGGCAACTCACTCATGCTTAAAGGGAGCATTCTCTCATCTTTCACAACAGAAGCACAAGCAGCACAGCTTTTCACCACATTTTCTACCATAGCATCCATACCAGGAAACCATATCTTTTCTTTTAACAAAGATTTTGTTTTAATCATACCCATATGTCCCTCATGAGCAATGTCAACGATTTTACGTCTCAAACATACTGGAATAACAATTCGATTACCTCGTAATAAAATACCTTGCTCAGTCACACAAAGTTCACTGGCAATTTTGGCAAAAATAGACATTTCTTCACAATCTTTATACTTATACCATAAGTTATTTTGCAAACATTTTATCACATTCTGTATCACACTATCATTTTCAGAAGCACTTTTTATTTCACACAGTTTGATAGCTTTGGGACATGTATTCTCGCATACATAATTCACATATTCTTCTGTGACTTTATCAGAATGTACATTTTGCATTTCAATGGGATGCCTTGACATGTAGTAAGCAGAGTTAGTTTTCCCTGGACGATGTACAATATTAAAGGTGTACTGTTGTAAACGCAAACACCAACGCTCAATCCTGGCAGAAGGTTTAGCAGTCACACTAGAAAACACACTCACTAAGGGTTTGTGATCAGTAACAACAGTAAATTTTACACCATACAGATAGAGATGGAAATGTTCTATAGCCCAGCACACAGCAAGAGCTTCTCTCTCTATCTGGGAATAACGACTTTCCACATCACTCAACAATCTAGATGCATACGCAATCACACGGACATATTCAATATCAGTGTTGATGCATTTGCCACACTTAGAAGTTACAACTGCATGAAATTTCCCCTTCACAGACAAGGGCTTTCTACTTCCATAAGCTTAAAGCTTAATATTTGCAGTTTCCAATTTGCATGGTTTACTGGATCTACTTTTTAAATTTTCAAAAGTTTTGTAATCGAGTACATTTACACTTGCACCACTATCTTTAAGCATAGAACAAAGCACATTGTTAATTTTCAACTGTACTTTAGCAGGATTATTGTTGTTGGAACAATTACACATTGATCCATTCACTGAGAGAATATATTCATGATTCTCAGAGCTCATTTCACTCAGTTCATGATCTCTGCAATCATGTTTAGGCTCATTTTGCACACTGTTCAACTTGGGCTTGTTGAATTTACTATTCGCTTCTTTACAGAATCTAGCAAAATGACCATACTTGGAACAGTTATAACATCTGCGACCATATGCAGGACACTTTTCTGCATGTGGATACACTCCACCTTACATTCGGCGACGAGGATGGGACGAGGTGGTGTGTATACACGCACAACTATATTGCATTTGTAGACTTTATTCACATTCGAAACAGAACACATTCCAGATAGATAAACTTAAAACAGTTAATGCACACAGTACCAACTCATAAAAGCTAATGTCTCACAGTACACGTGATAAGTACAGAACTTCGAAGTCACCTTCAGACATGAACGGACACGGGTCAAAGGCCACTATATTACAACCGGTTTACTCCTTTCAGGCTGTCATGATTTCTTTATCTCACTAAACTTCTATTTAGATTGCTGGCGACGATGGAAACGAACGATGGGTACAACTTGGATTTTCTGGTTTTGGACCACCTTGTGGATCAAAAGATAAAATGGGAAATTTTAATGTTAATTTTTTCATGGATGTATCAACATTTAACAGTTGGATTAGGAGCCACGTTGGGAAAGGTATGTGAATATTTTGAGCTTGGAAAGAATATTAGTTTCACTGTTACCAGATTATATAATCCAACTGAGTATATATTTTTAGATTTGTTGTGTGGTTAGAAAAATTGATTTTAAAAGCAGCAATTTTTCGATTATGTGATCATTTTCTGTTCTGAAGTGTAAATAACTGTCTGGGCTGAATTCAAATTCATCGCTATCACTTCAAGGAAGTCTTCGAACAAACTTCAATTTAATCCCAATACTTTTTTTATCTAGATATGAAATGGTAAAGATTTCTGACGTCTGTGATGATGCGATGTTTAAAGAAGACCATGATTTCAAAAAAACTGGCATTATTATTATATCATATAAGGGTGTATTTGACCTTACAAAAATTTGTATGTGACCCTACAAATATTGGTGAAATGTGATAATGTTATGTATCAAATTACTCACTCTTCTAGGTTTTTTTTCTAATTTTGGATTCTGCCAAAAGCGATGAAGTTTCAAAAAAAAAGAACATTTTTTAATAAGAAGAATTTCCACAAAACTCATTATGGTTGCCTTCCAGCCAGTAGATTAGAAAGGGGTAAAGTGCAGTGTGCTAGGGAATAATAAGTTATAGAGAGAAGCCATTTTACCATGTCATGGATTTTCAAAGGAAATTAAAATAATAGAATAATATGATATCTTGGGATGAACGAAAGAAAAAGTTTGATTTGGTGATAGATAACAGTGGGAAAAAAATTGAACAGCATGCTACTCAAACAAAAACCATTGTCCCTACTATTTGCTGCATTAAAGTTCTATTGTATTGTACTATCTATAACCTAAATTGCTGTACTTTCGTCTTTGTCTAATTAGGCATGATAATAAAATCAGAATGGTGTGCTAGTTATCAAGCCAGTCCATTGTTCCATATTGAATTCGGGTGAAGTATTCTGTGGAGTTATTGAAATTGTCATCTCATCTATGGTGACTGAAGATGTGGACAGTTTCCTGATAGCTCTTTCAATCCAATAATATACAGTTCTCCCTTTCAGTGTTGAATTCACCTTCAAAATATAATCTCCAAGACAGTTACATGTTCAAAGCAGAGAAATTTGCTAATATGATGATAACATATATTGTTTAAGTTTGGAACAAAATTCTGAGTTTGATTTTGAATTTTTGATGTCACTAGGCAGGAAATTCCAAGCTTTTGGTCCACATACTGCATACTTTTACTAAAAAAATTATATGCGATTGAACATAAGTTGACGCACAATATCGAATATGGTTTTCTATCAGAGAGTGGTATAGAGATATTAAACAAGATGTAATTGTTCAAATTGTTGGGTATTTTCGTAATGGCACTGAGAGACGACCTAGATGTATGTCTAGTATTTACTGAAACAGCGTCATCGTGGAAAGAAATTAAACGTGTCAATTTGAAAATTATTTTTTTAAAAACGATTTCTCAAAACAAGGCCTCACCAGTCTTCACATATAAATGGAGAACAAATGTTGAAAAGTTGCGAGTGAATTACAATGTATATATATATAAATGTATTCAGTATAACATAACGGAAATTTAGAAATTGCTTAGAAGAGTGAGTATCCTAAGCGATTAAAGAGTCTTGCTGCATACTATATTTCCTATTTACGTGTATAGAAAAGGCTGTGAAGTACAAATATGAATTCTCCAAGCTGCTGCTTAGTTGCCACATGACGCAGGGTGGCAAACGAACAGAAGGGCCGTTTTTCGCTAGATTTATAAGCCCTTTTACTTGTTTCTTTTTCACGTGTATGGATATGCAAAACTTTTGACCTGGTATATCATCATAGTTCTTAGTTCTGCAATTTCTATCCGAAAGATAGTATTTCTATTTTCTCGGGGCTATTTGGTGTGATGGAAGTTCAGAAAAAAATTTAAACTTGAACTTAATAAATGAGGAAATATGTTTTCTATCACTCTATCACTTCAACCTTAAGAACAAAGTAAGCAAATCATAAATTAATCGAACAGTATTAACCGTAATAATGCCTTTATTTCATGAGGAAAATGTCAATACATAAACTCGAAATCTTTATCATGGTGTCATAACAGATTAGTTGTAGCGTCATCGCATCGGAGGACTTTTACAATTAGCATAGCCTAGCGCAGTGGTTCCCAACCGTTATATCCTGGCGGACAGGTAAAATTAAATTAAATGTACTCGCGGACCGGAAAAAAATCGAAATGACCGGAACAGATAATATAATGCAATGTCGGGCACTCAATATGCTTCTACACAAAAAAGGCACACTTAAAAACATTTCACACGAAGAAAAACTATCAGATAATATGCCGGCCAAAAATTGAAACGGGTGATTGGTAATAAAATGCAGCACTGGGCACCCATTATGCGTAAGAAAGGCACGCATACAACATCTCACATAAAAAAACATGTGCATGCCAAATAATGTATAAACACAATTAACTCTAGTGAAAATTTTGCTGCTGTTTCGTTTCCCATATTGCAAACGAGGCCTCAAAGAAGTTTCTGCAACACGTAGCTCTGCAGAGGCGTGCAGCCGATTTCTTTGCTTTCTTTTAATTGAAGCTAGTGATGATAATGTTTTTTCGCATAACGCAGTAACTGATAGAAAATGCGAACAACAGTTTGATTGCTTGATTACTCAGCGATTAGTATTCGCCATCGAGAGATATCCAAAATTGTGACCTTAAATCTGAACTGTAAAGTAGAATCACAATTTTAATCAAGATTTTTGAATTTTGCCAGATTTGATGGAGTGCATTCGCGATAAATCGGAGCCGAAAAAGCAAAAAGTGCGATTACTCGGCGCCAAGATGTCGCAATATGACGGCGGGAGAGAAATTGCGTAATAAACCAACCCAACCTCGTCTTCGGTAAAGCGATCGGAGCGCATTCGTTATGAATCGGGGCCAAAAAAGCGAAGAGTGTGAATACTCGGCGCCAAGATGTCGCGAAATACGTCGCAATATGACGATGGAAGAGAAGTTGCGTAATAAACCAACATTTCCCGCGGACCGGCAAAAAAGCTTCGCGGACCGGCGGTTGGGAACCACTGGCCTAGGCGTCTCATCGTTTAAATCATAAGTTTATTCTTCATTATCGTAACGCACTCGCTTTGCCGAAGGCTCCCTTTGACCCAATTAATTTTGTAGTAGGCTCGTGAGCTAAGTTTCATGATTTTTCTTACTCAAAACGTCTCTCTGGTATCTCGGATAAACATTCCGGTTAAAATCTTATGACTTTAGTGTAGAAACCACCGTGGCGATAAATGTACGCAATAGAAAAAAACAATGATATTATAATTCCGGCAGCGTATGCAGCTGTTCGAACGCAACGTTTCGGCGTAGTTTAGCGACGATGCAGGGGGTATTTCAATGAAAAATACAGAAAAAAAATTGATTTGATACAAGCCCTTGTTTTGAAACACGATGTTTTTTTAGAATTGATAAAAAACAAAACCCTAACCCTAACAAAAAACTATTTCCGTTAACTGAGAATGAGAGTTGCGGATTATAAATCTTAGCTCCCGGCGTAATTAAACTATATTAAACAGGTTTGTTGCAGGTTTGTTGGTCGTAATATCAGACGAAAGTCGACGCTTCGGGCCTTAATAAACATTTCTGAATGTCACGAATTTCATATACATATGCTATCATTTTTAAGGCACAGCGGATTTGAACGTTAATATCGGACAGGAGGAGTGATTCGAAAATTATTCAAAATACCGATACTCCACGCAAAAACTAGCAATAAATAAAACAACGCAATAATACATGTCTCACACTGCATGTGCCGTAGGCAGCAATAATTTTTTTTCTTTGCGACCAAGATTCTGGTTGGTTATGTATGTATGTCTGTTTATTTTCCTCAAAAATGTAACAGTATCTGCATAATAGTTAAACGGTATAACAGAGACGGGATACATGTTTAAGACTTTACTGGCCTAAGACACAGATGTGCGACATGCACCCCAACAAGTATAACTGCAGTTTAGGACTGCTGCGTTATCGTAGGACAACAGACATGAATAAGTGTCGTGTGAGTCGTGAGAACCCCATTTTAGCTGTCTACGTCCATTAGTGGCATTTTTATTTATAGTTTTTTTGGCATATTTCTTATCGTTATGTTAAAAAGAATTTCAATATGAAATAAATTATGAAGATAGCATCAAAATTGGCTATACCGGGTGTGACAGCGGAGCCCGTGGTGGCGATAATTTTTAATTAGGCTCTTCTGAACTGTTCATAAACTCCACTGAGATGTACATAGGAACTTGGGGCCTATGCCAGACGTCTTACATAGAATTTAGTAAGCTGATACATAACTGATACATCTTTCATAATGAAATAAAACGGATGTTTAAATTGAAAGCACATGCAATATTTATAATGACAGCTTCTATTATTTTGATATTTTTATAGTGATATCAAAACTCAATTATTAAACAGTTGTAGATAAAATGCTCAAGCTTTGTTTTGTGGTTGTTATTGTTGGAAGTTTTCTGCAAAGTTTAGAAGGTGAGTATTTATTTGCTTCGCTGAGAGCGATATGATACAGTCTGTTTAGCTTCAACTGCAATCTAGTGTGCAATATCAAGAAAAGGCGAAACTGAACAGAACAAGAAAACCCTTAGTTTTAGAGTTAAAATATCTTGCATATTGTTAGAAATGCGTATGATCGGGTAGGAATCCCCGCAAAATTTGAATCCGCATTAACTAATAGCCAATCTACATCATTTCATGAATCAAAATTGTTAAAACCAACCGAAATCCTTTTTCATCCTGAAATCCTGAATTATATAACTTTCGCAGATTTCAAGGCGGCGCTCGCGCGGTAGCGCGAGTGCTGTGTTCTAACATTCGGGAGTTTTGTTTGTGTTGTTTCAAGACTATTTACAACCAGAGTGACTATTTGTTTACAACAAGAGAGCTGTGTTCAAATATATGGACACGTCACAAGGTGTCGCGATTTTTTTTCTCACACATGAAAAAACGAATCTCTTGAGGTCCACAGAAATTTTTGAAATAATTAAAAGTATTAGCCTTCTGGCAAAAAAATCAATCTTCAACCACTGAAAATTTCATAGCAATTGATCCAGTATTCGAAGGGAAAAACGATTTCATCATGACGAAAGAGAAGAAGAATACTAACAAGAACAACACCATAATATTGAAACGATCGTTATGTACACTGACCTGTCCAATAAGGTGGATCCGTCGGTGTCTCCAAAATGTCGTGTTCCACTTGTACCCCGAGTCCCACTTGTACCACTTGTCCCACTCGTGTCCCACTTATCCTACACTTGCCCCACGTGTACCACTTGTCACACGTCCCACGTATCCACTTTTCATTTTCATTTTCGAGAAAAAATAAGTATTTCAAGGGTGCCTTATGCTATGTAAAATACGGTACCACATCACGATATGAGCTATATAATAGAAATGGAATAAAGATTACCGGTGATTTTTGAGATATTGTCCCAGTATGAAAAGCAATTGCTATATATTTCATTATCACTCTCAGATAGATATGCAAAAAATAATGCTCTGGCCTCTAATGAAGAATTTCTGAAGAGGCTGATTCTTAAGCTGCTATATTGAAAAACTAGGCACAAAGCATTGTGATAACTAAAACAAACGTTGTTTTTCAATGAATGAAGTTTATAATATCATAAGAGATGATACATTTTTGTTCTATACAAGAGAAATGAAGAGTATGAATATTTTTCGTACGTAGTTATATACTAATGGTTGTATTTATTTTAATTCTATATATATGTCGATAATGCTTTACTCAACACAAGTTGTGAAATACGATTTATAAATTATAATGTAACATACTTTTCAGCAACCTTTTGTGACAATGTCATATTTAATAATGGAGAAATAACTGAATCAAAGAAGTCTCCATATCCTGTGGGAACCGTCCTTACTTTCGAATGTGACATTGGATACAAAGGCGTTGGAACCAATCAGATAAACTGTTTAAGTAATGGAAAATGGTCAGATCCTGTTCCTTACTGTCAAGGTAGACTGCTTAGTTTAAAACAGTCAGTTATTGATGCAGAAATCTGTTCTGATTTCAACATATGCTAATAATTGTCTTTTTCATCTGTCTTAGAATAAGTATTTATTACTTTTTTATGTTTCAGATTCTTATGCCTTCACTTGAAATTCGTTCAGCCGTGATACCGAATTAGAGGTTTTTGTTCATAATTATAAGATTCAATACCAGCTGTCATTCTATTATACAAACCACCACCCGTAATTTTAAATAAGACTTATAATTAAAACCTCTTATTCAGTTTTCTGGCCTTGTAATGTGTAAATAGCAACAATAAAACAGATTGTAAGACTTTATATCAGTCACATGCTCTTGTTGAGAACTCACAAATATTGCACTTTTAAAATGATAGATTTTGAACTGAATGGAGTCAAAGCTGTTGTATCTTATAATTGGAATCTAGATTTTCATCATTATTTTGAACAAAATTTTATTTGAAACAAATTTTCCATATTAGGCGCGGCGGTGTGGATCTAGGCGCGCGGTGTGGCTCAACGGGCTAAGCGTTATGAATACGCTCGCCACCGCACCTCTAATTACTCTGCGTGGGATCGCAGGTTCGAATCCCATGCAGGGATTGTTATGTGCGAGAGGATTGCTGGACTCCTCGCCATCGTTGGGTGGTTCACGTAACCGCTGGTCGGTTACGGCTTCCTCTACCACCAAGTCCATGCTTCCGAAAACAAAATGAACTTGACTTGAAATGGTAAGCGGACGAGAGGCCGTGATCGCCATATGGTTAAGCCGTCTTATAGGCTTTCCTTTCCCCCGGGATAAATATGTAAATCCTATCCTATCCTAGTACCAAAAAATTTGCACACACGGCGGCTGGGCACATCATGCTAAGCGTTATGAATACCCTTAGCGGTGTTTCAATATACGAATTTAGTTTGATTACATTAGTTCCAAATTTAATTTTGGTTATTATTATATCAAAATATTATTGATCTTCTTTGAAATTATTCAAAACGTGATATAAAATGAATAGCACTGAAGATTTCCAATTGAATCTGAATTTATTATGCTCTATTTCTCATATCAGCCTTTGTTTGCTCAAAAAATTTGAAGGGAGTAGAAGAGGGAAGAACTTGTAGAAAAAGTTGTATCGACGGCTTTGACTGTCCAGGAAGCTTTACGCGATGCCTCTGTGATGATGTTTGTGGAAAATCTTGTTACAACCGTGGTAAAGTTAATATAAAACGATTAAGCGTTGTTACGTTTGGTTAGTTTATAATATGTAATGAAAGGTATTATCTTTGTCTAGCGTCCCAATGTCCTACACCAGAAGCACCGGAAAATGGTTATGTCTTGTATAACAAGTTATCACATGGACATACAATATCCTATGGATGCGATAAAGGTTATGCTTTATCAGGACCCCAAACGAGAACTTGTAGATCTGATCAAAAGTGGTCTGGATAGCAAGCTAAATGTATTGGTAAGTTGATTCGAACAGGATTAAAACTATCAAAACTCATACTTTGGTTTTATTGTAAAAAGGAGGGTGATGGACAAATATGTGAAAATGAGATCTAGCCATGCATTGAAATTCTGATAATGATAGCCAAGTGCAGTGGTTTTCTAACTTTGTAGCCCATTTCAAATAATTTTGTGACCTTCTGCTCTTCAGTAAAAATAAATCGTTTTGTTTTTCATGCATTTTCATCAATTATTTTATTTGCCACATTCTGACAATGAAGACACGACAAACAAAAATCACTGAACGTAAAAGAATAAATGCTTTACAGTCGAAGAAATCATACAATTTATTTTAAATCGCCTCAATCAACATAAGTAGTACCGAATGAATGCTCTTGTAAGTGGCCCCCAATGCATCGTTTCATGGCCATCTAGTGTGGTTAACGACCATGTCTGGAAAATACTGGCCTGGTGGTTAACCTGATATACCTAATTGTAGTTGCATAGCACTTGAGATATTTCAAGTTCGAGACGTACCTATCAATTCTTGGTGTAATAAGGTAAGGTATGAGTGAATATATGATTTCAATTTTTTTGGTACAATAATATTATGTTCTGATTGCTTTTGTACCATGTTGACTTCCTGTGAGGTATTTTATCTCTTTCACAAACATTTAGAATTTGGAGTTTGCGGTCAAGCAGGGGATGTTCAGCAAGAAGTAAAGTCTAAGGTTACTGAAGGTACAGATGCACGAATAGGAGCATGGCCCTGGCAAGCACTGTTCTTCCGAAGAAGTAAGGTAATTTGAATGAGAATGATGGTATTCCTAATTCAGTGATGGCATGATTTTGGTACTACAGTTGTGAATTGCATATTGAGTCCAGCATAACAGTCTATGAGAAATTTCTATCCATTTGTTATCATCAATATTTTTGATGACTTGTTCAATGTTCAAAAGTATCATGATAATCATTGAACCATGGACTGTGAATTGATAAAATAATTGGTCAAAATTTATGAAGAATTTAGTGGTTGATTTATTGTGTTTGTGAGGAGTAAGGCCATCTCCAAAATCAGTAAATTTTTTTTCTGACAATCAACTGGGTACTACTTATTTGGCACAATAAAAATGCTTCAGCTGACTATACTGAGTGAAATATATTATAGCTATCGGGGCTGTTTGAGATGATATTGGTATATAAAGATGAGCTTTCAGTTTATTTAAATTTTAAATATTTCAAGTGAAACAATTTGTCAGCAAAATTTTATGGGGAAATAAAAAGTTAATCCTACCATCGAGTCAAGTCAAGTTTATTTTTTCCAACCATTAAATAAATAAAAACAATTGAATACAGAAAATATGAGAAAAAAAAATAAAATCACGGTGTTCCTGGGAAAGGGAAGAACCAAAGCTGATTATCGAGCAGCGACACCCAAGGTTCAAACATCTATTTTGAATAATTGAAATTTTAGATTTAAGAAACTACTGTTTCCATCTAACATCCCTCAATAGAGATAGTTAGTTTTTTGAGATTGCATTAAAGAGTCGTAAGCGTAAAACTAACTGCTGGACGGTGAATTTCCCAATTCAGTAGAATTAATTATAGGACGGGCATTTATAAATATATATATATATATATATACATATATATATATCCTATAATTATAACTATACAATCAATTCAGTCAGTCCTGAGGAAAATTAATCATGCAGGAAAATGAATTGATCATTACGGTAAAATGAAAGTTTTGCAGTTAACTGATTTTCGAGCAGCGACACCCAAGGTTGTATCATCCATATTAAAAATTTCAAACTTTTGAAACTACTGTTGTTAACGGATGTTGTTAACCAGTGTTATAGGGGGTGCCAGTGTTAACGGGTGTACCAGTGCAAATGGGTTTAATTAAATATTTTTATTTGAATTATCCTTATTCAACTTATACATACTAATTGAGGCAACTGTATTTTATAGGGTTTGCATTTAAACAGTGGCTTTGGTGGTGGCTCCATTTTGAATAACAAATGGATACTTACAGCTGGACATAACTATCCCTTGGCTTTCCCAAGAAGTAAAGATACTAAAGAGTGGAAAAAATTCTTTTTGGTTGTAGTAGGTAAGCTATATAATCACATAACTCAAACCCATGTTCAAAACCTCACCCGAAGTGTGACAAATTTGGCAGAATATCTCAATGTTTAAAATATTTTGCGAATTTACTAGTTTGGTTTCAGCACATTAAAATTCCCTTATATTCTCTATATTCTATTTTCGGCGCTTCTGAAGTATGCGTACCAAGATGGCAGACGCCGAAACGTAATATGTGTACCAGGTTAGGGTTAAGCCATATTTTCAGGTACAAATACTACTTGACTACTTGAGTCAGTCGACTAGTCCCCGAACTCGTAATAGAACTAAAATTGGAATCAAATTATGGCCTAACTCTAACCTGGTAAACACACTACACTACGTTCTGGTGTCCACATACTTCTTCATGGTACGCATACTTCAGGAGCACTCTATTTTCTGTATTGTAGAATATTTTCAAGTCTATATCAGTAGGGTTTTCCTATTTGGACATCTCAGAATTTATGAGTAAAAGCAGTATTGAATTTTTCTCTGGAAAAGTCTAACTTCTTATTTGATATGCAGGAATATCAGAGTATCCAGAAAAAGGAAAATCACCTCCTACTGCAGACATCATTGAACCTGAGATTTTATTCACTCATTCAAAATTTGATATCGAGACAAGTGATTATGACATTGCATTGGTAAGAAAAAATTATTCAACTAAAAAAATATGGATTTCCAGTATATTTTGTAAATCATATTATGGTTGAGCAATATGCCAATAACTGAGAAAGTTTTGAATAGTTTTTATTGAGACATATAGCACTTTATTGGGTAGTTACAATGACGTCTTCAATAAATTTGTACTTTCAGTAATATACCTACAATGTCCTCATTAATATAACTACACCAGTGTCAGTCAACCTTTTTGAAATGGTACACCCTTTTAATCATTTCCCAAAGTCTGGTACACCCCGCCAATCCTACATTTTTAATACATAAGAAACTCAATTTTTGAAGTTAGATATACATGTTTATGTCGACGCAATGGTTTATTAATATTTAGTTAATGTAAATGCTGCTCTTGGATTTCATCAGCCAATTGTGCAAAGTCAGGTAATAACCTTTTTTCGGACCTCAATTCATTTGCATGTCTCTCCATGCGCAAATTGCTGAAAACATTCTATGCTTTTGGAATGAGGCCGAACAAAATTAACAACTTTTATGATATGAATGAGAACAATATTCAAATCAGTTTTCTGAGTCTTTTCATAACTTAGCTTTTTCACCACATGAGCCTCTCGATGTATGCACCGTTAGCAAGGTCACAGCTATGACAAGCATGTAACAGAAAATTGGGAAATGGCTGACATACGATAAAACCTTATGTTTGCATATGAGGTAAACCGTTTTATATTACATACCATTGTCAAATTTAACCTATTTAAATAACCTATCAGGTGTTAGTGTGTACCCCAAAACATTCGGTACCGTACATCCCTGGGGACCCTGGTACATCCTATCTATCAGGTACACCCTTAAACTTTTTGGTACACCCTGGGGTGTACTATGCCCCCGGTTGACAAGCACTGACCCACACACACACATATATAATTAATATAGGGAAATACACACTGAAGACAAAAGTATTTTCATTCTTATATTAAGATGCGCATGAAATTATAGATGTCAGTCAAACAGTTTATCCTAATCAAAAC